TATCCTAACTAAGGCAAAAATGGACAAATTTAAGCATTGTTTAGAGTGGAATAGTTAGAGTTTTCTTTTATTACAGGGTAAATTTTGATTTTTTATTGAAATGCTAAATATATGCTGCATTCCTTAGTGGTTGGGTTTTTTTCCTTTCAATTTAGTTTTGTTAAAAAAATTTCAATTTGAATGTGATTGAATAATGTTAAAATTGGTTGATGTTTGACAATAATAATCTTACTTTGACATAATATTTAACAGAGTTGGTGAAAATTTAAATGAAAAAAATATCACAAATGATGTATATGTGTGAAATCAGCTTTAGAAAATTACACCCGATTAATTTAAAATAAAAAATATACCAAAATTTATGTTCAGTGGTGAGATTAGAGTTGTGTAGAATACATAACAATTCTCCTTCTATTTATGGAGCAAATCTAATACTTTCTAGATACTTTATGTTCATATATGAAATTTGTGTTCATATATGAAATTCTCGAATTGATCTGAGAGAAAAATTGATAATAATTGATATCACTACATACTAATTTTGGATTTATCTTTTTTCCTTCAATCCATCCTCTCACGTAGATTCTAAGTGGGCAACCTGAGTTAATGTGAGCTAAGCATAGTTTGGGGATGAGGCTAAGGATATGGCCCAAGGCTTGAACTGGCCGAAACAAGGGTGGATCGACCTGTGGGTCATGTCTAACCCTTTTGGATTGAGTCTTAGGCTCAATCATGTGGTTTTTGCTCTAGTCTTGGTTACTTCTTGGATGTTTCCGTAGCTTGACTTAAATTTTTTTACTCATAACAAGTGGAAATTTTTTAATTCCTCTTCTAAATTTTTAGAAAACTGATAGAAATTATGAATTGTTTGCTTTAAATGATAGGTTTTTTCCTCTAAAGTTCTATCAATTCACTAAATATTATGTCATTTAAATTTATATCAACTAATTTTAACATTCACTAACGTCTGAGATACGAAATTGAAATTTTTGAAATATAAAGGATTAAATTAAAAAATTTAAATAATATAGACTAAATTGGAAAAAAAAAACACTCAAATAAAACATATATTTAGCTTCGATAAAATATGACTTTTTTAAATTTTCTTTATTTTTCAAATTTTTTATTTCATCTTTTTTAACGAAAATCTTCAAAATATATATATAGGCTTATTCATGCCAGGGGCATATGACCGTTTTTTTTCCTATAAATCTCCATTTGTTTTGCTTATGTCAGTGAACAATATAGTACTGTAATTCTTTGAAAGGTGGAATGTTTTATAAATGAATACTTTACTTTATTCGACCTTAAATAAAATGTTGCAATTTTTATTTTTTGAAATTAAGTTAACTTTTATTTTTGGTAAGCTTTCGTTAAAAAAATTGTTAAAAATTTTATTCTCGTACATTATATAAAAAAATACATTTTTTTGAAGATTTATTCCATGCACAAAGACGAAACTTAATTTTGTACAAAATTTGATTTTTATTGAAACTAGTGAATTTAGGAAAAATTTTACCTAACTTTATGTTAAAATTGGTTGGTAAATGCTGTCCAATATAATACTAGATAAGGATAAATTTTATAGTACATAACAACTATCTTCCTGAAAATTTATGTAAAAAATAAATAATATCATACTATAGAATTATGGAAAAGTATGATATCATAATAGGCTAATACAAAATTTTAATTATTGAAATATTTGTCTTAGATTAATGTCCAATTATGGTGAAAATTAACTATACATATTCCCAAGTTTGAGGTAAAATACATTTTTAAATGATGTAATTGAAATTTAAAACTTTACTACTAAAAGGACCTCGACTATAGACAAAATATCTAGTTAAGTTAATTATTAATAGTTGTTTCTTAACAAGAAAAATTAGAAAAAAGAAAATACTCTATTTTCTGTTATTTGTATGAAAATTCACCATTGAAAGACAAACAAACATGCCCTATCGCCCTGGGCCTGCAGGCCGCAGACACGAAATTTGATTACTTTTGGAAATGTCAAATGTTATTTTCCTTGATAATCAAATGTGTTAGTTTTCAATAACTCTGTGCAAATGCCCATTTTAGTCCCTACTTTTCTCGCGATCCACTCCTTTGTGTTGAGGGTAAACATGGAAATCCAAGCGGCCTTCCAAATATTTAAGCGGCGTTGTCAGTATTGTCGGCGACGTAAAAAACAAACTTACCCAAAATGTGGTTTTTCTATTTTACTTTATAAAATAGTATTAGCTGTAAATTATCTTTAAATTTTGTTTTCAATTTTTTGTTTATAATTAGAAAATTTTTCATTCCATTAAATTGCCTCAGCGACAGCTACACTTTTTTTGTACAAATATATTTTATCTCAATAATTTAATTAAAATCAACAAATAGTAGCTAATTAAAGTTAAAAATAATTGACAAATTATATAAAACTTTGTGACATTTGATACTAAAAACACATCATATTAAATAGTTTTTTTAAGTGAATGACTTTTTTCCATAATATTATAATTTAAAAAGAGGATGGAGATTAAAATCTACCTTCTCAAAAAATCGCCAACTAGTTGAATTATGTTTCTTTTTCCGTTTCATTTAAAAAAAATATTAAAGTTGACTTCTATATTTATAAAATGATCGACTAATTAAAAAGAAATTTATTTAATGTTATAGACAACCTATAATTATATAAATTGGGTTTCATGTGCAATTTTTCTTTTTCTTTTTCTTTTTTTAGATGTCCTCATATTTGAGTAATTATATATATATATAAAAGGAGTATTTTAAGATTGTATCTAACCAGAGATAACCCTTTGGTTAAATCTGCTTAATTAGTTTGGTAGCAGACTTTCTTCCCAAGCAGCCTCTCCACAGCCACATCCCAAACTTTTTGTTTACAACTAAATCTGGACTTCCCATTGCAGATTTTTCAGTAATCAAGCTTTCGAACTTCTCTATCCTCTGCTAATCCTATTCCTCTCTATAGTCTCTATCTCAATTTCACCATTTTCCCAAGTTTCCTGTTCCATTACTTTAGAATTTGGATAAGGATTTAAGGACACACCCAGTTTCAGTTTCAGTTTCACAAGCAATTTTGAGGGAGACGACCGAAACACAACACTTTCGTCTCATCTCGCTTACACATCTCTTCGTTTTCACGGGTAATTCTTGCTCTGATTGGATATACTTTTTTGTTTTCTTGAATTCGGCTGTTCCTTGCAGTTTTAGATCTGTTTTTGAATTTTGAATTTTACAGCACTCCGTAAATTGCTCCTGTTTCTTCAATTGGTATCTGCTTTCTGTGATTGCCTTTTTGGGTTTGCCAGAGAATGGAATTCCTTATGCCTTTTGAAAAGATTCTACTGGGATTTTCTGTTGATTTGTCTTTTCCATGTCTGGAGCTTTAATTTCATTGGATTTGATAGAGAAATTGCGAGTCTCTCAAGGGATGTATGCGTGTGTTTGTTTGCAGCCATCTCTAGGAGGGGAATTCTTTGAATCGGTTTCTTGGAAGAATGGAAGTTTCTACGCCTATGCAGTCTCATAATACAGAAAAACAGAAATCTATTAGTCATGTTAGGCTGATGAGAGGGGTGATTTGTTTAGCGGTGTTTCTGTCTACTGCCTTCATGTTTTTAGTGTATTTTGCGCCGATAGCGACTCTCTGTTTACGGCTTTTCAGCCTGCATTACAGTAGGAAGGCAACTTCCATTATTTTTGGTTTCTGGTTGGCTCTTTGGCCCTTTCTCTTTGAAGTGATAAATGGGACAAAAGTTGTCTTCTATGGAGATGATGTTCCAGCAAATGAACGTGTTCTGCTCATTGCCAACCACAGAACTGAAGTTGATTGGATGTATTTGTGGGACCTTGCATTGCGAAAGGGCTCCCTAGGCTGCATCAAATACATCCTTAAAAGCAGCTTAATGAAGCTGCCTCTCTTCGGTTGGGGATTCCACGTTTTGGAGTTCATTCCAGTTGAGAGGAAATGGGAAGTCGATGAACCGCTTATGTGCCAAAGACTTTCAACGTTTAAAAATCCTCGAGACCCCTTGTGGCTTGCTGTTTTTCCCGAGGGAACTGACTTTACGTATATCTTCCTTTCCTTTCTACTGTATTCCAATTGTATTTTGTTTAAATGAGTTCGGAAAGAAAGGCTGCTGTTGCCCAAAATCTTCCATTCCCTTTCTATCTTTATGGTATGGTTGCCAATTTCACAGCCAATTCCCCTCTCAAAATCATCATATTCGCTGATCCAGAAGCTTGTTTTGAACTTCCAAGTCTCATCTTGTGCTCTAATATGATGTGTCTGCACTTAACAAATTGGCAACTTATATGAAAATTACGTGCAGGGAGGCAAAATGCAAGAAGAGTCAAGAATATGCTGCTGAAGTTGGACTTCCAGTGCTGAAAAATGTTCTACTTCCAAAAGCAAGAGGTTTTTGTGCTTGCTTGCAAACTCTCCGAGGTTCCATTGACAGTGGTTCGTTCTTCAAAATCCGCTCTCTTTTTCTTTTCTATTAGTTATGGAAGTTATGGAAGATATTTTCTTGTTTTTGTTGCATGAAAATATGGTGGCTGTTCGATGGTTACCGCTGTGTATGGCTATATTAGATATAAGTTCACACTCAACTTTAAGCTGAGAGCCAAGCATGTTATGTGTGATACTTTTTCTTTTCACCAGGATAAATCTTAAGAAATTTGTAATACAAAAGTGTATCTGAAATTATCATGTTTGTTGCAATAACTTCTGGTCCTGGTTTTGCATCTTTTTTTTCTAATGAAACTCAATTTATGCAGTTTATGATGTGACTATTGCCTACAAGCACCGGTTACCTACCTTTATGGATAATGTCTTCGGCCTCGGTCCTTCAGAAGTTCACATTCATGTTCGACGGATCCCTGTTGGGGAGATTCCCGCTTCCGACGATGGTGCTTCTGCTTGGTTAATGGATAAATTCAAGCTCAAGGATAATTTGCTCTCGTATTTCACAGGCAATGGCCATTTCCCTGAGCCAAGAGTAGAAGAACCACTCTCTGTCTTCAAGTGCTCAATGAACTTCATACTGGTCGTTTCCTTGACTGCCATATTCGCTTACATTACTTTCTATTCATTTTGGTCCAAAATTTATGTAGCTTTATCTTGTACATATCTTGCTTCCGTTACATATCTCAGAGTACACCCGGAGCAAGATTTAGGCTTTTTGATATCAATGTTCGTTGGCAAGAAAGCACGCACAGAATAACACATTCTTACAGGATACATGATTTTTTTCTTGTGGGGAAGCTTTTTCAAGTGCATCTACTGTTCTTAGATTGGAATAGAATTTTTGTGTAAACTTAGAGCATTAACAAGTTTGATATCTGGTCCCCATAAGCAAAGATGGGGTAGAAAATAAGTGAATGGAAATCTTTGCTTCTCTAAATTCTACTGTCTTTTAGCCTACAAAAAGACAGGCAGAGGCTGAGCATCAAAGGTTGCCTACGGCTATATTACTTGCTCATCTCTCTCATTTGCCTATCCTTTTTTCTGCATATTTCGTCACTTTGATGATCCTCAGCAGACAAAAGAAAACAAAACAAGAACTGTCGTAATTTGTAAATGGGGTGGCCCCCAGGGAGATTTATCAACCTCAGATTTTGACAATTTAACTAAACAAGACAAGAGATGGTGAAACCAAAACGCGTTATTATGCACCACCAGAGACAGAAACAGATGAACAGAAGGAGAAAAAGTTGCGAGATTTACTAGACGCACACCAACTGTTTGTTAAAAGTTCCAAACCAGCTATGGTTGAGGAAATTGGGTTAGGTGACCGAAAAAACAGCAAGCTGCGTAGCAATTTACAAGCTAGCTAATGCCTGCAGATTGGGCATGGAAGAATTATGAAAAAAATAAACCCATTTTTGAAAAGGGGGTGGGTGGGCACAGGCACACAACACATGCTTTCGTTAACTGCTTATGGTCGTGGGGTGATTGTTTGGGATGTCGGCCTTCACGATTAGCTCACGCCCTTTCTTTGTTTCTGCCGTCTCTCGACACCTCCACTTTCCACCCCCTCTCCCCCATGACCCCATTTTTTTTGCCATTTCTGTTTGGTTTTGGCTAAAAACTGAAACCCCATTCTTTCACTTTCACCAGTTTATTCAAGATGTTACAGTCCACGTGCCCTCCTCCACTGCTCACGAAAAGATTGGTTCAAATATCTTTTGCCATTTCTAACCAATATAAATACAGAGCTCTCTTCTGCTTTTCTCTTCCAACCAACCCCTCAAATTTCTCGTTTTCTCTCTGCAAATTCCTTGGATTCTTTACAAATATCAACAATGGCTTCCCTATCAGCTCTCTTTCTTCTCTTACTTGTGTTTTCTTTTGGTAATGGTGAATGCTGATTGATTATCCATCTGGGTTATCATAGTTTTTTTGTTTTCTTCTGTTTTCATTGTGGGTTCTGGTTAATTCGATGATGATTCGAGTTTTTTTGGTGGGATGTGCTATGTTTCAGGAAATGTGGCATTTGGGACTGTTTTTACTCTTCAGAATCATTGCAGCTACACTTTATGGCCGGGAACGCTCTCCGGCAATGGTGCGGCGGTTCTTGGCGATGGCGGTTTCCCTCTGGTTCCAGGGGCTTCTGTGCAACTGACGGCGCCGCACGGCTGGTCCGGCCGGTTCTGGGCACGAACGGGCTGCGTCTTCGACGGCTCCGGCAACGGGAAATGCCAGACGGGTGATTGCGGTGGCGCACTTAAATGCACCGGCGGCGGCGCGCCGCCGGTCACCCTGGCGGAATTCACCGTCGGGTTGAACAGCGGCGATAAGGATTTCTACGACATTAGCCTCGTGGACGGGTACAATGTGGGGATCGGCGTCCGGGCAAGCGGCGGAACCGGCGACTGCCAGTACGCCGGCTGCGTGGCGGACTTGAACGGAATCTGCCCAGCGGAGTTGCAGGTAATCGATTCCGGGTCCGTCGTGGCCTGCAAGAGCGCTTGCGCCGCCTTCAATTTGCCGGAGTTCTGTTGCACCGAAGACCACTCGACGCCGCAGACATGCCCGCCGACGCAGTACTCGGAGATGTTCAAGAACGCCTGCCCGGCGGCGTACAGCTACGCCTACGACGACGCCTCCAGCACGTGCACATGTTCCGGGTCGGACTATTTGATTAGCTTTTGCCCGTCGGGTTGATAATTAAGTCTACATTTGTTTTCTTAGGTTGGGTTTGCAAAATTGATTAAAGAAAACTAATTTGATTGCTGGATTTGGAATCTCCATTCTACAAAATTTACATAATTTATATATTAATCATTTAAACTTTAAGTGTTTATTAAAATATAGTGTTGTATTTGAACTAAAAATATAATAAATGAGCTCAACATAATAATAGTAGTATTATTTTTTTCTAATAAAAATCCCTCTATCAATAAAAGATAATTAATTATAAATATTATTTAAACACCCATTTGAAACCTCACTTATTTTAATTGGGATCTTGGTAATTTAAGAAGCAAATCTTACAAGGATAGGTGATTGAGTAAACTAATCGACCAAAATTTGATTGATGGATTATAAAGTTTTATATCATCAAATGATCAATACTTATTTACCATTCTTAACTATTTTGAATCATGAATCAAAAATCCCTTCTATTAATAAAAGATAACTGCTAGCATAACTTAAATAAATCATTACAAAAAATAGTAGTTAAAAAATTATTTACAACTGTAGCAAAAATTATACACACAAAAGTCAATTAATTAATGTGATTACATTTAATGAGCAATTTCTTTTTTCTTTTTCGAGTTCAACAATTGGAGAGGTGAGGGATCAAACCATCGACCTTTGAGATGATAACAAATATCTTATCTACTGAGATTATCTCAAACTTACATTTAATAAATAGTTGCTAAACTTATGATTCATCATCATTTAGTAAGTAAAAAAAGGTCTATTTTTTTCCCTTTAATGGCAAAATTGATGCATTAAAAAAGAGAATTGGTTGGGAGTTGGAAGCTACAAAGGCCAACAAAGACATGAATCACCTGTCTCTATAGACTTTGGCTTTCTTTGTGTTACTTCCAAATGAATCAAATTTTTTTGTTCTTTTTAATTTAATGGGTCTTCTTGTTTATTTCTTTCTATCTATCATTCTCTTGGTTTGGTATCATCATCCATCTATTATTATATCTCAAGCATTCTTTCAATTTGATTCTCATGTGTTCAATGCATTAGACAAATTTGAACCAAAAAGTAACTAAGGACTTCTTTTTGTTTTTAAGATTATTGCACATTTTGAAATTACTTTGTCTAAGCCCTAGTTTTTTTGCATAAGAACTAGAAACTTGCAAAAACAACTTTTGAATCGTAAGAATGGTTATAATCGTATTTTCAAATTTTAATATAAGCAATTACCACTCTTCCAAAATTATTAAATTGTTGCTAATAAACATTGCTACGTCACTGCAAGTTGAAAATTATGCAAAATATCCTTAATTATGGAAAATGGAGGAATTTTTTCCTTACCACCCTTAAATATTTGACAACTCATCATTTTCTAAAATCAAATATTTAATGGTGGTAAGGACAAAGTTCTTCCTTACCATCGAGGAGACATCCTTAATTATCAGGGTTGTTATAATTATAATATAAATCCTAAACCATCTCTAGATGATGAGGTTTGTCAAATCATATCATTAAATTATTCAACCTAACAACGAAATGGTTTACCATTTTCTAAAACCACTTATAATTGTCAAATATTTATGTATTGTAAAAATCGCTCCTAAACATACCCTAACACTTCTCCATGATCTAAAGTGATTTTAGAAAACGGTGAAACTATATGCCAAAACCGAACAGGCTCTTATATTGCGCTGAAATTTAACTACAACAAAAAAAATAATAGCTCAAATTGAAAGTTCAAAGATGCAATTGCAACGAACTCAACGGTTACCTAACCAAGTTTTGTCCCAAAATACACAACCCTGTTATGAAAACTAGCTCCTAAGTTTCAGGCTCTCCCATGATTTTCCATGCCTAATATTCTTAACATATTAGCAAAAAATTTCATCAGTCCTCAATTCTAGACAGCTGACAAAATAATGCAAAAGTAGTAAAAGGAGATACATAATAGAAAGAAAGAGAAAGAAAGCTTCTTTTTTTTCTTCTCTCTTTCAAAGGCCTTCGGCCAGTTTATGTTGTACATGAACAAAGCTTTTTCCACCTTCACTTTTCTATTTCCTTTTCTCATGGTTTTCATACACTTACAAATTCTCTCTCTACAAATAGCTTTCATCTTTGAAAGCCTAAAACTTGGCAACTTCTCAACCCAATTTTTTCCTTAAATCATTTTGGGCTGAGCACAACTGAGAACCTAAAATCTATGGCATTTGCATTGCACTGCCAACTCTATCCTAAGTCAAGACCCCTGGTAAAATTACAAACTCGATTGATAATAACAAAATCGAAAGAAGGAAAAGGAAAAAAAACCCTACTACAAGTAACTATTTTACAGATGTTCCTTTTGAGGAGCTGTTACTTACGAATAAGTTACTGCGCAGTCGATTAAACCACGACAATTTGATCTCACCGGAGCCCGTGCACTGCCCTTCGCCTTCCTCCTCACTGCTGAAGAGGGTCTGGTCGGAGCAGTCGAGTGATGCTCCACAAGCTAGATTGTATGACTGACAAGCCGAGTGGCATACTCGGAGTCTGTTGTCACCATCTTGATCGCACTTTTGTATTGAAATCTGAATACGAAAACAACAAATGTAGAAGGGAAGTGAAATTTTGGAGCAGAAGATGAAGTCCATTTATGAAAGTAACATAGTGTGCTGAGTCCTATATCATGAAAAAAGAAAAGGTGCTGAAATAGGTTTGCTATAAAGAGGTGGTAGACCACTTACCCAGCAAGCCAACTGCTTAGCCGCTGCATCGCAGTAGCTTCCGCCAAAGATGTTAAAAATTTTCCGGGCACCACCAGGGAACAAACGGTGGTAGTTTGGCATGACGACAACTTCCTCGAGCTGCTGTAGGATACTCGGTTCACTGGGTGCACAGTGTTGGCCAGTCATATCCCTTTGCAATACATTTTTGCAGACTGAAAGACTCGAAAGAAGCATGGAGCTGTTCTGGCATGAATAGCCAGCATAATCTGAACAACGGAACTCGCAGACGCCATTATCACAGACACCTCCATGGAGGCTACATTGCTCATCACAAATAGCTGAGATCATGCCAAAGTGCTTTGTTAAGTTCAAAAGTAGAAATGCGAGCTACAATAATGTCTACCACAAGGCCCAATTTATGTACATGAAGAATTTTATTTATTCATTTCTTAGTAACCGAGGTATCTCAAAAGCACACTCTTTGTATTATGTTCATCCCCACTAATCTCTGTTAAGACCACAACCAAAAAGAGGTAAATAAAGGATATTACCATTCATGGTCTCATTATTCATTTTCCCCCATATAAGCAAAATGATCGTTTAAAAAGATCTAAGAATGTGAAAAGAGGATTACCAGTGGAGCAGTCGATGCCAGTGTAACCGTTTCCACATTCACAAAGTCCATTAGAAAGACACCTCCCATTTCCACTACAGTTACTAGGACAAGATTCTGCAACATATATCAGCTCGACTTAATTTATAAGTAAAACCCAGGCAATCACATTGAAATGTAGAAGTAATACAAGAAATATAATAGATGCTCACGTTCGCTACAATCATGTCCATGATAGCCTAGAAAGCAGAAACACTTCCCATCAACACAATCTCCGTTGAAATTGCAGGTATTGGGGCACTTTCCAGGCACTGAAACCGAGTCTTTACTGCAAAGTTCATGATATGCAGGGCAGACTAATTCACCTATAGTAAGAGCGTTGAATTGATCGTGAGACTCATTGGACAAAAATTATTCCTAAAACAGTCCAATAAGGGTAAGTACTTGCCATTAAAGCCAGGGAACTGAACTGGTCCGCCAGCTTCAGGACATACTTTCCACATACCATCCACAGCCACCTGAAAGAACATGATTAAATCAGATTGGAAGCATTAGTATAGTAGATACGATTTTCCTCTTTAAATGAAGCCTCATGCAATCATCCAAATGAAAAAAAAACTTTTTGTTCTGTCAGTTCATGTTCACTGCACAGCATGATTATTGCAACATCTATGCAGCACAGACTAGATATTATATAAAACAGTTCCCAAAACCAAAATCAACTTCAAATCCTTTCTTTTGCACGAGTTTGTGAAAACCAAATCAACTATGAACTTCTGATGTGTGCCTGTAATATTTTAAATAACATCATGGGTAGGACTAGAATGCTAAAACTTGCAATATACCTCCAATGAATTATTAGTGCACCTATGTTGATAACAACCATTTCCTTGGGTCATAGAACCTCTTACAAACCCAGTTCTGACTAGGGATGAGGCCATACACCTGCATATCCATTAGAAGAGTTATTGTCACCACCAAGATTACGTTTTTTCTTCACATTGCAAATGTGCATAAACGATAAGCAGTCTTACCTTGAGTTACTTCCCCGTACTTCACCCAACATTCTGTCAGGTGCACGTGCACTGTTGGTGTCAGTGCATGACCCATCCGAGTAAGCCACAAAGTAAGTACAATAATCAGCCAATGACGACTGTCCACCTACAGTATAGAAGTTAATATATTATATATTGATGGAATTTTACATATGAAGAGTAGAGTTTACTCGACTTCAAAAGGAGAAAAAGAATGACCCTCACAGTAACGGATTTCCAATTCAAACCATTTACAAATTATATAATCTTATTCGGCAGATTGGATACCTTATGAACACTAAATAGTAAATACTCACCCTTGTTAGGTTGGGGGAAATATCGAGCCCACTGAGGGAGGTCCCCACTATAGCTAACAATTGGACAGTAACCCTCTGCTTCCCTATTATATGTACATCCTGACAACTGTGTAGCGTTGCAATGGTATGCCCCCTTCCAGAGGTTGCAGGGGGAAGTGACGAAATCATTACCTTGATTGCGACCCCAATCAAGACGATCTGCCATGCTATAGTTGGCCTGGTACCATCCACTATCTTCCAATAAAGCCAGTGTCATTTTTGAGACCACAGATCTTGTATCAACTGAACCAGTCATAATTTCATTCATCAGAAGCCTTTTCTCCCAGTGAGATCCTGAAAGTAAAACATTGAGTTATATGTCACTTCATGTAACATTGAGTTATATGTCACTTCATGTTAAGCATATTAGTTTTATGAAAAAAGCTATAATAGGTCAAGTGGACAGTGCCGGTTCATAGAGAACTCAGTGGGGACCAGAATAGGTGAAACGTAACAAAAAGAACTAAGAGTAAAACCTGAAGTGCCACGTCCTCCTCCATCTTCTAGCTCTAAACCTGAGAAATTCCCTGAAAATGCCTGCCAAGGAAACAGAGTTTTATTTGTTTTCTAGTTTTGAAACTTCTAAGGCAAAATACTTCCTAAACGCATGCCTTTACCCACACACACAAACCGGAAGGAACAGAAGGAAGCACTCACCCCATAATGATACCGCGAATGCATAACAACACGTGGAAGCACCACACGAGTCACTGTGCGGCCAAGTCTTTCATCCAAGATCTGCTCTGTTACCTGATACAAATAGATCAATTCAGAGGTCACTTCCATGTAATACAAAACCATTTAAACATTCTTAGAGAGGTGAAAGTGTTAAATTTATTTCTTATCCTTTCCTTCATCAAGTCATTTGCACTAGCTATAATTTACCTGACTACGCCTTCTTTTCCTCTCATCTCTAAAATGGGCAAAAGCATGTGGATCAAAACCAAGGACATGCATAACCTGTAAGGTATAGAAGAGAACATGGTGATGAATTAAATAAATGGCATTGTTATTAATCAAACTACACATATGAAACCCACAAACCTCGTGTATAAGAGTAGCTGAAAGTAAAGTCTCTGCTTCAGCAGTCAAATGCCGAGGTGCAACATTCACATGTCCTGCAAAATAAATTAACGTACTAGTTTCAAATCCAAACAAAGAGGTTTATATCTCATGTATATGTAGATAATTCTCCAATCCTTCAAACAATACTCTCTCAAATAAAAAAAGTTTACCAGCAATTGCACGGCCCCATTGATCACGTTCACACGCAACAGCCCAAGCAAGTGTGTTCCCCGTAGTAGGCCTTGTGGTAACTAAAAGAACCAAGTCTGCATTGGGAATACCCTCTGGAGGACACATACAGAATGGTTAAAGCCAAAAGCAACACACCTTCAAGGGGCATTTAAAAAATTTATTAAAATACCTTCGACATATTCCCGAGGAAGCTGTACGCCTCCATCCTGTCCACAAGCAGAGTATCCACTTAAACGCAAGTTCCCCTTCACAGGTTCAACAGCCAATGCTCTTCTGAACCAATCTGCTGTCTGACCTAATGCCTGCATTGAACAGCCTTATAAATCAATTTCCTTGATTGAGTTAATGTTCCAAGAAATAGTTATGAACACAAAGAATGCAAATGAAAAATTGATATAGATATGGAGTGCCTTTTTCTTATCAAAATAAACGTGATAACTTAAGAAATGAAAGAAATCAAACAAGCTGAAAAGGAAGAAGGATTGATAAAATATCAAACAAAGCATGATAAATGAGAAGACTAATAATACTACATAATACCTTGTGCAGACGATGCTTTTTGTCCTCCCCAGATATATCATCAAAAGTGCAATTATACCAGCAGTCACCCGAAATTGGAGGGTTGCTGTGAGGATTGCAAGAAGGAGCACCCGGAGAGGAAGTAGTGACAGGAGGTTCTCCAAGCTGCTATGAGAAAAAAAAAATACAACATAGACACAGAAAACTCGTAGTCAATATCAAAATTCTGTGTTCGGCTTGGGCACACGTAGGAGTCAGAAAGTTTCAAGGTCCAAAATCACCTTCACGATGTCACCAACTTTTTGGCAATCTCTATCAGGCGAGTGACCAACAGCATCATAATTCAGATATATTCTGATAGGTTGTCTTGTAATTTTTTGCGGATCTGATAATTCAGGAACTGCAAGCAATGCTCTACCCTTTCGATGAAGGGGTTTTGTGGTACCAGTCACATCGTAAACTTGGGGCGTAACAGAGTATACCTTCAGCCCAGGTCGCCTCTTTTGTTCTAGTATCTGGTCATGGATGCAAGAGTGTGAAACAACGTTTTCAGCTCCCCTTTCCAACCGGTGTTCTTCAGATTTTGCATATGTAACATCCAAAGCCAGAAGAAGTAATATCTGAACAAGGAGAAAATAAGCTAAAAATTATAATTCCAAGAATATCCAAATATATAGTTTGCAGTCAAAACTAAAACAATAAGTTTCGACAGGCAAAAAGAGGAAACTTAAACTCCAGATTTCTCTACCTATTAGTATGCGCAACTCTACCTATGTCTTGTCTTGAAAATCAGATCTTAAAGATAACAGATCAAAGAAGAAAAATCCTTTAAACTCAATTAAATTTAGAGGTCTCCCAACATTGTACAGAAAGCTCCTTCAACCATAAGAAGAAGAAATCAGCTAAACGGAGAAAATCTGGAATGTTAAACAGAAAAGGAAAACGAAACAACACTTTCAAGCAGTAACTCCCATCCCTTGACTTTAAAAGTTAAATAAATGAACTCCTGGAAGAGAGAGAGAGAGAAGAGATTTGGATGGTAAGGACTTAAGAGATGGGCTAAATTACGAATAATTAGTAAAATCCAGACTTTCCCCCAAAAAAAAAAAGCTAATAATTCTTCACAGCAGTTTAGTTTTCTTGAATTGTTCTCTGTAGAAAACGCACACCCACGACTGCTTCAAACGTGCAGTGGCATTGCCAGTGCAACAATTGCAGAACGCCCTCTCCTTCCAAATAATTTCCAGACCCAAAGAGTGGACGAGGAATTGTTCACATTTAGAGAAGATG